CAGGATTGCAGGATTGCCTCAACGTCCACGAATTGGTTCTCGAAGAACATCAACACGTACAGTGAAGATGCCAATTTATAGTGGATAGCATTTTTATCTCAAAATTATCAACAATCCATATGGGACTGATATACGATTATAGGCAGTGCAGTACTCGGTCGTGCAGTAGAAGGTAGAAAAAAATTGCCCTTCCTGTACGAACTTTGCCGATCCGAAGTCAATCCGCTTGATATGGAAATTGTGATCGATGATAACGTTCTCGTCTTTGATGTTCCGGTGCAGAGTGTTCAACAAATGTAGGAAAGCGACCGCATAAGCAATCTGTCGAACTCGAAAAGATCCATCCCGGAACCGTAGATTTCCATCACAACCTGGAAGAACTTGTCGTTCTCTAACCGATCGAACTTGTTGACAATGTTCGGATGCTTCACATGTGTCAAAACGATTTTCATAAACAGCGGCACGATTTTCTCCTTCAGTATCAGCTTCGATATCACCAGCAACCTATCCGAGTTCCGGTAGCTCAGCTTTACATACCCGTACGCGTCTTTCCCGATGTTCCACACCAGCGTGTAATATTTGCTGTACTCTCCGTGGATCAAATCTTCATCGTACTGCGACATACGGGCCGATGCGAGTGCTGATGGCAGATGGCTTGCCCAAGCGAATTGTCTATCCTTATTCTCATCCTTCAGGTTGTTATACGCTCGCAGGGAAGCATCTGATTCGAACTGGTGTACAGTATATCGGTCACGTTGCCATCGTAGTGAATCACTTCCTCGAGGTACTTCCCATCCGAATAGGTCCACAGGGAATCGGAAGCGTTCCAACGGCCGAATGTCGTTTCTGTTGATATGACGTTGACGTGACCATTGCCTTCGACCGATCGTACGGTTTGACATACCCAAAACAAAGGATTTGAACTGTCGAAATACCGGGTTTCCAAACATACAATTATGTGATGTCACAGTTGAATGAGAATTCATGTAAGACTTATTTTGGTTGATGATCCTAGAAAGGTCCTAGAACACTTCGAATAATGCTTAACATCACAATTGAATGAGGCTTCTTGTGAGAAGAGCAAGTATGTATGATTCAACAGTATGGAAAACACTCTATAAAAGAACCACTCTGTATGAAGGGGACCCCTCTCTGGGGCCCCACTTATTTTTATCTACTATATCAAACTCTGTAGTCAGTGCAGCAGAGGACGGAACTGACCCAACTCCCACGCTGAGGGAAGTTAAGGATGCCATTCAGCAGCTCAAAAACAACAAAGCAGCTGGTAAGGATGGTATCGCAACCGAACTCATCAAGATGGGCCCAGAAAAATTGGCCACATGCCTGCACCGGATGATAGTCAGGATCTGGGAAACAGAACAGCTACCGGAGCAGTAGAAGGAGGGGGTAATCTGCCCCATTCACAAGAAAGGCGACCATTTGGAATGTGAGAACTTCAGAGCGATCACCATTTTGAATGCCGCCTACAAAGTGCTATCCCATATCATCTTCCGTCGTCTATCACCTAAAATGACCGAGTTCGTGGGAAGTTATCAAGCCGGCTTCATCGACGACCGATCAACAACGGACCAGATCTTCACCGTACGGCAAATCCTCCAGAAATGCCGTGAATACCAGGTCCCAACGCATCATTTGTTCATCGACTTTAAGGCGGCATACGACAGTATCAACCGCACAGAGCTATGGAAAATCATGGACGAGAACGGCTTTCCTGGGAAGCTGATCAGACTGATCAAAGCAACGATGGACGGTGTGCAAAACTGCGTAAGGGTTTCGAGTGAACTATCCAGTTCATTCGAATCTCGCCGGAGACTGTGACAAGGTGACGGGCTCTCATGCCTACTCTTCAACATCTAGACTCTAGAAGGTGTAATGCGACGAGCCGGGCTCAACAGCCGGGGTACGATTTTTACGAAATGCGGTCAATCCGGTCAACCCGCCTGAAACACGAAGCAGCAAAGGTAGGACTGGTGGTGTGTGCGTCAAAAACAAAGTACATGCTAGTAGGCGGAACCGAACATGACAGGATTCGTCTAGGAAGTAATATCACGATAGACGGGGATACTTTCGAGGTAGTGGAGGAATTCGTTTACCATGGATCCTTACTGACGGCTGACAACAATGTGAGTCGTGAAATACGAAGGCGCATCATCAGTGGAAGTCGTGCCTACTACGGGCTCCAGAAGAAACTACGGTCAAAAAAGATTCACCCCCAAATGTACCATGTACAGAACGTTAATAAGACCGGTGGTCCTCTATGGACACGAGACATGGACTATGCTCGAGGAGGATCTGCAAGGTGGCCAAAGCCGGAAGGATGCGGTGGGCAAGGCATGTTGCAAGAATGCCGGACAACAACCCTGCAAAGTTGGTGTTCGCTACTGATCCGGTTGGTACAAGGAGGCGTGGAGCGCAGAGAGCGCGATGGGCGGACCAGATAGAGCGTGATCTAGCGAGCATTGGGAATGACCGAGGATGGAGAGCGGCAGCCGCAAACCGAGTATTGTGGCGTACTATTGTTGAATATGTCTTATCTTAAATGTGATGTTGTACAAATAAATGTATGTAAGTATGTATCAAAGTCTGTAATTTGGGGAGTTCCCTTCTGGAATTCCTTTCTAACTAGCAGTGTTCGAAAAATATCAACAAATCAAATCTCACCAATGCCCAAGATCACGCTTGATTTTCGTAGACAAAAATCATCAAAATCAATCTACGCTTGATTTTGCAAGCCGTGATATCACAGCTCAGAATATCAAGCTAACAAAACTCACCAACTGCAAATCTCACCAAACTGTGGTGAGATTGAGTTTAATGATTTTCGCTTTACACCCGAATGCAACCGAACTTTCATAACGGCTGGCAGCAGTCCCTTCGTGTCTGCCATCGGTGAAGAGTAAAAAGAGATAGCAGGTACGCCAAATCGACGATCAAATGCATTGTTTACAAAAGCTGATACGTCCCTTCGAAAAAGTAATCGAGATTTGGTACAAACGGTCTGCACAGAGCAATGGATTGAATAGTGCAGTGCTTTCAGTTTTCACACTCAGCCTAAGCAGTCAATAATTTTACTCTCTACTCGCAATATCAAAGGAGCTTGTAAAATCAATATTAAGCATGATATTTTGTTCCAATCGTGATATTTGTAGTACCTATGAGAAGCAATACTGCAGGGATACACATTCCACATATTCAGAGCGTATGAGAGCAGACAAATATTATTTGATGATTTTACCCACACTGCTAACTAGGAAAACCTCTTTCTGGTGTTTTCAGAGATGAACCAGCCCACGGCTGAAAGCTTCTTTAAAAATGAAATCTAATCTAATCTAATGTATCGAAAGCGACTAGGGTGGGTGAGCCAGTAGTGGAGGAACTAAGCAGATTTATGTATTGAAAAATAACTCAACGATGTACATACAATTTGTATACGTAAATCTATAGCTGTCAATCTCTATTCTACTAGAAAAATGCTTAAATTAAATTGTACACATTTTTCGAAAACTTGTCCTCCATTAATGTAGTCGTAGTTGCTAACTTTGGTTCCTATAATAGTGGAACACATTGGTTTCTTATGGGTTCCACTATTATAGGAACACGAACGCAACTATAGGTGCTAAGGAGTCAAAATCTTAAGGAAAATCATTTGTTTTCCGCCATTTTTGGGCTAATTTTAAGTTTGAAAAATGCAAATCTGCTGTATTTTAGGAGAGCTACCGATGGAAAATAACCTTATCCGAAGATCGACGTATTGGTCTTTGTGATTATGATCCGAACAGAGAAAAAAAATTAAACTTTATTGGACATCTCGGAGTTTCCCTGAAATTCTCGGATCTCCCCTAAAATTTTCTGAACTTCTATGAAGTTTCCGAAGTTTTCCTGATATTCTCTGGACTCTTGTGTTCTCGAAAATAACCTGAAAATTGATAACATTCCCGAAGTTCTTTAAATTCCCCTGAAACTTGTGGCACTGCTTTACGGTTGCCTGAATTTTCCAAAAATAAATACGAAATCATTTATGTAGTTCTTAGATTTTCAATCTACATTTTCCAGAAATTCACGAAACTGCCCATACATTATGGAAAATGATTCTTCAACATCTTAGAACTTGCCCAAACGTCTAGACACTACGTGTTTTCCTGATGTTATTCTAACTTCACGAATGATCTCTGAACTTCTTTAAGGTTCTTTCCTGAATTTCACAGTATTCTACCAACTAAGAAAAATTTGAATTGATCGTTAAATGAGTGATCGATGAACAACATGCAAGAGTTATGTCTGTTTGTTGTCTCGTTTTCGTTCGTACAGAATTTTTCATATAAATGTTTGTATTGAAAGTACGGGTCGAACGTAAGCGGGAATACGGCAATTAGTGTCTAATCATTTCAGATATGGGCAGTTTTGCCTCAGAAAGCCCCATATATCCAAAGGGAGATTTAAATTATTATCTCGCTACATCACCACAAACAATGCACTCTTCTAAACAGATGGGTAACCTTGGATTTCTTTATACTTCTGTTTAAGAAAGATTTGTTTTATGTATAGAAGGTATCACTTGAAGAAGTTCGCAAATCTAAACCGAATGAAACATCCATATTGAAGCTTGTTAACAAGTAACCAATCAATTGCTAATTATACCTAATAATTTAATCAAACGATCTCATTCATAAAACTAGACACTTAAACATGATAAATGATCCAATCATACTAATCGAAAATTGCTTAAATATCCTATCTAAAGTTGTCTCACTGAATCACGGACCTCGAATGTATTACGTTTTTTCTTTGATTGATGATACGTCTTCTTCTGGATTCTTCTTCCTTTCCTCTTCAATTTCGAAACGATACACTAACAAAGCAAAAACAAAACACAAAATTAATAACAAAGACTGTAAAACGATGTGAAATAAGGATTTCTTTCCTGTGTAGAATGGAAACACAACCGAGAAACCGAGGAAAAACTAACCCAAGCGCAAATGTAACGTTCAGTCGCAGATCGGCGACTAGCATTTGAAAGTTTATTCAACGAAACTTACTAAAATTATATACACAGTTAATACTCGTTTAGATTATAGCTCCTTGCGTGAGTGTTTTTTTTTTAATTTAAAGAAGACTTGATCGAACCAAAAAAAGATGAACAAAGAACCAAAATTTCACTCAACGGAAAAACCGAAACCTGTAACAACTACTACAACAACAAGACCGCAAAAAATAGAACATTGTGTGAGTGTTTGGGAACAATCATCATCGCTCACCGATGTGTGTGTGTCTGTGTTTGTCAGTGCATAGTATGGTCGTCTGTCTTCGGCTTGCATCAAGTCTTTAGTATTTTTTTTTTCACAGGAAAATTCTCACGAAACCTTTCTCTATAACCCGCAACACATTCGTCACGAAACATACACACGCACGCGCGCACGTTTTGGCTGGCTCAAATCATAATATAATCATAATAAACCGCTTTGACTAATATCGATGTTTGCTTCCTCTTCTTCTTCTTCTACTTCTTCCTTCTGTTTTAACTAAATTCTGTTAAAACCTAACAACTGGTGAGCTTTTGTCTAACAGGCGTTTTGATTTAAAGATTTTTCTCAATATGAATAAAATCTGTTTGTATTGTTTAAAACTCAATCTCTCACTAAAACTAAGGTCTACTAGAGGCGTTCGTCGTCACTGTCACGGTGAAATGTCAACATAAATCAGTTGAAAATCGGCTATTTCATATCCTTGCTAAGGTTGTTGGCATTAAAGCGTGTGTTTACTGCATATCTAGGTGTGTATGTGTGTTGGTGTGACTGGTGGTGTAAGTGTAGGTATCTTCTTGTTTTCGCAATCGTGCTACATCTCGCGCCGCGGGACAAACACAAAACTCAACAATCAATCTCACCGCTGGTACTTAACTTTATAAGTAGAAGATTTTCTCCCTTCTTCTTCTTCTTCTGCTTCCTCTCCTTCCAGTAGATAATAATTAACACCTTACATATATAGGTTGGTTTCCTTTTTTCATCAATAGGTTTTCGTTTTTTCTTTTCTTTTTCATTTGCCCTTGCTCACACGTAAAACAGAATAAGTTAAATTTCGACTGGATTGCAATAAATCTCTTGTAAATACTTCTTAGTTTCAATATCTTGCTTCGTAATCTAGTAAAATCTGTTTTATATTCTTATTCAACTTCCTGTGACTGACTACTGCTGCTGCTGCTGCTGCTGATGACGCTGTTTCCTGCTTTTCGAAAGCATTCTCCTTTTTTGTCAGCAGCAATAGTTTAAGCTTGCTTTCGGGGGTCGGGGTAATTGATCAGTAACCTTCAGATTGTTGTTTTCCATAGTCAATATGTCAATATTAGTTAGAGTCTCGGATGGGGAGGGGACTGTTTTTGAGGGGGGCGCGATTACAATGATATACTTCAGACGTTAAATTACGATTTTTAATTTAAAATTAGAAAATCGAAAAACCGATAAATGATAAAAACCTAAAAACCGTACCGTACCGGGGTTGCAGCAGCAGCTTACGGTATTGGAACGGTGACTTGCACGTACGACTGCGGGAAGTAGCCGGTTCTGCCGTTCACGCTGCCTTCGAACCAGTTCTCGTCCACACGCTGGATGAGTGTGATGACGTCGTTTTCCTAAAACGAAAAGAAATATATGAAATGAGGACCGATTCTTACAAGTTTAGTCTCACGGTATATTTTGATGCAATAGTCAAATCATCAAGCAGACTCAATGGGAAAGTGTGGAGGACCCCGGAGGATTATTAAAACGATCATGTGGTAATTCAGCGGGCCAGTAGATTTTCGAAGAAGTCTTTGAAAAAATACAAGGAATTTGCAGAAGATCCCGAGGTCAAATAAAAAAAAACTCTTGTTCTATATAGTGCGGAATGTCAAGAATGCCTCTTCAGTCTTTTCAAAGGTGCCCTGTGGGTAAGCTCAAGGGATTCAATAATCTTAAGACCACCCTAGGAGACCCGGTGTCGAAGACAATTAGGTCGAAGTACGTTAGGCCAAAGTACGATAGGCCGAAGTCTGTTAGGCCGAATGGGCCATTATGCCGACATTTTATTTTCCTTTACAAAAAAACAGTTCAATCGAACGTTACTGTTCGTTTCTTTTTTTCCTTCTTGAACAGTTCTTCCGAGGACGATTGTTCTTCCGATATTTGGCACTTGAAGGGGCGATTCCTCCATATGTCCAACCTGTTCATTGCACACGTGGACCTCATGACTATTTCAGAAAATATTTAAATATTAAAATGTTCATAATTAGAAGGGCAAGAACTCGAAAATATTTACATACTGCTTCCAGGCCAAAAATGACCGCATTGCACTATAGTGAGAAAGGTTAGAATGCACCACGGTAGTCATACAGTTGCCCATTCCATGTTGATGTATCGCCAAGCGCTTATTGTATCATCACGAAAAATATAGGTACCTATGCGACAGCATGTCTCACGCTACGTCTTCGTGTGTCGTGAAATCAACAAGTTCAACTTTATCCGTCGTACTGATACACTCATACACGTATACAGATGAGAAGTAATACACGTATCCAGTGCTGTGCATTATCATTACGGTTATTGTACCTTGACGGTCATCCTCATATAACCATCACATATCAAAAATGACGGTCAACTAGCATATCACTTGGAAACACCTTTACCTCACTAGACCGTCTTCATCAAAGCCATCCATGACAGTTAGATTAAATGACAAGGAGAGAGTAGCAAAATCATTCACTCACTGATCATCTCTGTTGAACATTTATAAGTGGGAAGTGAGAATAATGCTCCCTCATTTTCCTGTTCTTGCTAAAAGTTGTTAAGTTCAGAACATACGAAACATTTTGACGAAAACGTTGGATTTTCATTTTCCTTGTAACAAATAAATATGTGGGCGCTGTTACGCTACAATGTAGAAAAATATCCGTTTATCTTCAAAAATGCCATTTCTTAACTTGCCACTATCACTTTTATATGTTCCATCGGCAATATCAATTCTCTCTTACGTACGCGTTATTGCGTACGATGCTTAATAAATCTCAAAATTGCTCCGAAAAATCATGGAACCAACAGCTGGACCTTCGACAAAATCAGTGCGAAACCGAAATTTTTGTCAGTAACCTCAACCTGAGCTGGGTTTTAAAAGCAAACGAACAAACTGACGTTTGTCAGAAAATAAGCTGATCCAATCTTGATACCCGTTCCAGGTTGGAACCGAGTTTGGAACTGTATAATAAACGAATGCGCTATTAATTTTAGCGATGATTTATTGAAATACACTGCGTTTCCTTACGGAATTGCAGATTTATTTGTTGATGGATACCAATGGTTGCTTTGATTGTTGAAACCTCAAGTGAAGAAAATGTGTATTTATAATGCACCGTGCAATAATTCAAGACCAACAATTGCAAAGGACTCAACTCCATTTTGTAAACAAACCTTGAAAAGCCATTTTGTCGCGAACCGAAGTCCGCCAACGCAAACGAACAACATTAACAAGTAGGGAAAATTCTCCTCTTCCCGATTGTGATTTAGGTTTGTGAATGTAGGTTTCGTTGCACGAGAAAATGGCCTTACAAGGTTTGTTTACAAAATGGAGTTGAGGTTTTTTTCAATTGTTGGACTTGAATTGTGTAAGCATTAAAGAGGGTAGTACGTGTTCATGCAGATATGAATTCTCACAATAATAATTTCTGGTAAGACTTCCTTGATACATCCCAACTATCGCCTTATCCGTGATTTTGAAAGAGGAATGACCGTCATAACCGTATTTATGCTCGAAATGAGATGACGGTCAATTTATATGTCTTTTTTATTTTTCCTCGGTGATATGATGGTACCACATGATAGATGTTAGTGATATTGCGAATGAGTGAGAAAAGCAAAAAACGATATCTCTCGGTTGTTGTATCATACTGGTGAGAAGTTTTACAGAGAGAGGGTTCTCTGTTGTTTTGATTATTAACCGTAGGAATCTCTTTTGTCAATCTAAAGGCTGTCAGTACCGTGATGCAACTCAGCACTGCACGTATCCTCCGCGTGCTTGTCGCATTTGTCGGTTAATTGATCATTTTGTCAAGCTTCTGCAATCATGTTCCATTAGATGTCACTGCTGTTGTTTGCGGTGACATCTATCGGAAACTAGACACAATCTGTTTTCCTATAATTGTTCACAGAGGACACTGCAGTGCAAAACATGTCTGGTACCTCTATATATGCATTTGGATTATTATTCGAAGTCCCTCCTTTTTTACACATTCTGCACACAAAATAGCTCACCCCTCACAGAATTTCCCGCCGAATTTCATGTATGGGGCGGAGCATAAAGTATCTTTTGCGCAGAATATGTAAAAAAGGAGGGACTTCAAATGTTAAAGCAAATGCATATATACAGGTACCTGCCATGTTTTGTAGTGTCAGGTACTCTATTTTGTAATCTGTGAAAGGGAAATCACAAATCGAGTGTCAACAAAATACTTGACATGTTGAGAGATTGAGGTCGTTTGAGGATTTCTCTCTCAAATTTTGATTTTTTTGGCTCTCTGGAGACTGGTAGTAAAGCAGTTAAAATTATATGGGGAAAAATCATTTTTATTCAATTGTAGCTTGTTTAGCATTAATTTCCGGAAAAAAACTGAACGACAAAGCCTCTGACTAATTTCTTTAGGTTGTCGTTCACTTTTTTTGACCTGAATATGCACCGAAAGCGAATTATTCCCACTTCTCTCAATTTCTATAAGGGGATTTTTATCACTTCCTACCAGCGGAACAGCGCCATCTCTGTGGAAAATGGTCGAACAAAATGATTAATTGACATTTCAGGCTGCAATATTTTGTAGCATCATCATTTGCAACGATGAACAGGCATTTTTTCGTATGAATGGGAATACAGTGGAAGAATCTGTCACTGCGTGCGTGGTTTTTCTCTGTCGAAAAACGCCCTCAGTATGCATCGAAGAGCTTGAACCGTCAGTTTTAAAGGGTGTCCACGATGAAATTGCCGCACACAAAATTGATTCGCAAAATTCGAGTTTTCATCCGATTGCCATCAAATTTTCAGGGATTGAGAAATAACTATTAAACTTCATTTTACCATTTTACTCGTATTTTATTTACAGTCCATACGCAAATGCCCGCACCTTGGCCTTAACCCAGGCCATAAGATTCTGCACAACCTGTGAATCAACCGTTTTTTGCATGTAAACCCATACTTTCTTCAGTTCCTCGACTGTCTTCAATACCTTAGGTCGTTTAAGAAGGTGCTGCTTCATAATCGCCCAGTACTTCTCGATGGGGCGGAGCTCCGGAGTGTTGGGAGGGTTGAACATTTTCGGCACGAAATTGACCTTATTGTCCGCATACCACTTCAGCACGTCCTTGGAGTGGTGGCATGAGGCCAAATCCGGCCAGAAGATTGTTGGGACGTTGTGGGCCTTCAGGAGAGGAAGCAGCCGCTTCTGGAGGCACTCTTTTATGTACACCTGTCCGTTCATCGTGTCCTGGGTCACGAAAGGTGCACTCCGCTTCCCGCACGTGCAGATGGCTTGCCAAACCAGGAATTTTTTCGCAAATTTGGACATCTTCTGAGTGCGGACATGCTCCGGAACGCTGAACTTATCCTTGGCCGTGAAAAACAGGTTGCCGGGGATCTGTTTGGAGTCGGCCTTCACATATGTTTCGTCGTCCATGATGCAGCATTCAACTTTCGTCAGCATGTTGAGGTACAACTTCCTGGCACGGGTTTTGGCGGACTTGTTCTGCTTCTCGTCGCGATTAGGGGCCTTTTGTACCTTGAACGTTCGAAGCCCAGCCTTAGTTTTGGCCTTCTGCACAAAACTTCGGCTTAGGTGCAGCTTCTTAGCCACATCCCTAACGGAGGCGTTCGGATTTCGGTTGAAGGCCCCAACTACGCGGTTGTGATTTTTGGTGTTGTACGGAATACTTTTTCCTTCACTTCTGGGCTTCCGATCGGTGGTCAACCGTTAATCGAACCGCTTAATCACTCGCGACACCGTAGAATTCGCGATTCCCAACGTTTTAGCGATGGAACGATGCGAGAGATCCTTGTTCTCGTGATGAATGCGCAAGATTTTATCACGCACGAGCTGTTCTTTCGACTCCATTTCCGCGAGTTTTGATCACAGGACTTTAAAACTTGCAGGATATAAATAATGCACTATGAACTAAATCCACCCAAATTTTCATTAAATTCTACCCAACGGTTAAAAAGTTAGAGCAATTTCATAGTGTGGCAATTTCATCGTGGACACCCTTTATGAATGGTTCTGTTGAAAAAGTGTTTTTAGAACGTTCAAGCTCAGTGGTGGTTTCGAATTTTTAGCAGCTTTACGGTTTCTAAAACAGTGAGACGTAAGTTGCATAGCTAGTTTTTACTATGTATACACTATACAATAATTTTATTGTACTTATATTTCAGATGGCATCAGAAGTCCAAATTGAATGTGCTGTAGCGAATATTCTTGTTCGACAAAATTTCTGCGCTAACCATGGAAGAAAAGTTGCTGGTAGTGCACCCCCCAACCTGACATGAAAAATTTGAAGTCGTATTATTCAAAGTCAGGAAAATCTATGACGAGAAACTTCAACAGATCATCGTACAGCAGTCACA